GGCAGATATGGCTATGGCAGCATAAGTAGGAGGGAGAGGCAGGTGGGAACGCAGGCATGGGGAGTCCCTGAAATGTCAGCACTCCAATTCCACAAGGGGGTGTGAAGCTAGAGTGACAGACTGACAGTTCAGTTCATCCAAAGCCAATGGCACCGATCCCCACCCAGCTCTACACCTCACACTATAGGTATAACTGGGAGTGAGCAGTTAGCTAGAGCTAGAACTAGAGTCCGTATAAGCTAAACTAAACAGGTGTGTTTTTAGTCTAGACTTGAATATTGAGAGTGAGCCTGAAACCCGCACATCCAGTGGAAGACCATTCCACAGCTGAGGAGCTCTATAGGAGAAAGCTCTGCAGCCTGCCGTAGGTCTTTCTACCCTAGGTACTAACAGATATCCTGCTCCTTGAGATCGAAGAAAGCGAGGAGGGTTATATAAGGCCAGCAGATTACTAAGGTATTCTGGTGCAAGGCCATTCAGTGTTTCATAAGTTAATAGTAATATTTTGTAGTCAACTGGAAGTGTCTGATGAAGTAATTATATAAAAAGTAATATTATAATATGTTACGCTATTGAAATATGTTATACATATTTAGACAACTTACCACCAAGTGCTAAATACTGAGCAAACATATAACATATAAAAGTGCTGATGTTCTTACTGTCACTTGGATGAAATGTCCTTGAACCAAAGATTTCCTGAATCATAACAGAAAAATAAACATGAGTAAAATCAAAAACATTGAAGTACACAATATAGCAGGGGTGCCCAACTTAGTTCTTTCCCTGTTCCACCATAAATGATTCAGCTCAAGTGCTGTGTGGTAATTACCAGAAGCAGGTGAATCAGGTGTGTTAAATGAGGGGAAACCCAAAAATGTGCAGGGCTCCGACCCCCCAGGACTGGAGGTGGGCACCCCTGCAATATAGTATGAGATGAAAATCCTTATTATTATTATTATTAATAATAATAATACATTACCATGGATTTTTTGTTGTTTCTCAACTAATAATTAGAAAACAAGTGTTTATAGCGGGAATAATCAGAAATACACAGTAACTGGATATAGCTAATTGCAATCTAGCAATCGTGTTTTTCATACACTTCAATGTAAAATAAAAATAGAAATATCATATTTAATAATATAATAATCTTATACATTTAATTAATGTGTGCGCAGTATACCTCTTTAGCCTCCTTACCTGCCTCGTTTTAAGTGAGGTACTGGGTTTGGATAAGTCCTTTTTAATATTGCATTTCATAAGTACGATTAATTGTCTTACTACACAGCTGGCCCGATTCTAGATGACAGAGTGGGGGCATTTTTCGCGTGTGCCGCAGCCGCGGAGCGCACGCTGTTTGTGTATCACGCAGCACCTATTCGCGACCGCAAAAATACATTGACGAATAGCTCCTGCAACCACCCCCGCATGGAAAAGTACTACGCAGCTTTGCTTTATTATATACGAATTAGTCTGAGACATTTAATGTATCACAAGGAACATTAAATTTACTACATTTGACACATACTTCCAAGACACTCGTAGTTTCCCTCCAAAGTGCTAAACTTATCATTATAGCCTTCTGATGTGAGCACGTGTTAAACTAGCTAGCCAGCTAACTAGCAGAAGCATTAAGTAAGTGCAGGTTACCAGTGATTGATTGGCACGCACAGCTAATGCTTATGATTAAAATTAAAACATGTTAACGATATTCGTGTTAGTAGCTGGAAGGTCAGTTTAAATTTACTATTCAAATCTCAACTCAAGACTATATTAAACAATTCGGGCACTGTTCTGTCTTTATTATTTTTACTGATTCAGGTCGCGGCGAGTTTATGTTGCTCTTAAATCCTGCTCGGCACAGCATTTTTATCAGCCCGGTGTACACGAGTTATAGCAAATAATTAAATCAATTCTAAAAACTGATCTGACTTTGATTTAGTTAGTGAATTTACAGTTAAACCGATTTTAATTTACAAGCCAGTAGCTCAAGCTACCTTATATTTCCCGCCGAGTCAGCCAACTGCAGACAAATTCTGTGCAGTGAAAATACCTTTTTAGTGTAGATGTACACTAACATACACTCACCTAAAGGATTATTAGGAACACCTGTTCAATTTCTCATTAATGCAATTATAAGAACATAAGAACATAAGAACATAAGAAATATACAAACGAGAGGAGGCCATTCGGCCCATCGAGCTCGCTTGGAGAGAACTTAACTAATAGCTCAAAGTTGTTAAAATCTTATCTAGCTCTGATTTAAAGGAACCCAAGGATTCAGCTTGCACTACGTTATCCGGAAGACTATTCCATACTTTGACTACACGCTGTGTAAAGAAGTGCTTCCTTAAATCCAGTTTGAAATGTTCTCCCGCTAATTTCCACCTATGGCCACGAGTTCTTGTATTT